ATATTTTTTTTTCTTTCGACTCATCGGCATTATTAATGATAAGTACAAGAAGACTTAAAAAAATGTTTAAAGATTATTAATTATAATTTTACTACAAAATAAATTTTATTTCAACTCTTTTGTTCTTTACCATGATTATGTGTATACGCTACAAGGAATCTATTATATAGATATATAATATTCCATTATATGTATAAATATATATGCCTAAAGTGTAATAGCAAACTTCTCAAGCTCGTCTTCAGAATGCCTTGTTTTATAAAAATTTTCTTTTATGATACAAATTCTTTTATTATATAAAAGACGTGTTCTTGTGTATAATACATTTAATCGAAGGAAAATCTTAGCTTTGTTGAAAGGAAATAAAAAAATGTTTATTTCATTATTTGTAGGATCGGAAAATTTAATGTGAAATATGATAGGTGATTTTGATTTTCATTGGATGACTTTTGATTCATTGGATGAATTGGATTGATAGGATATGTTTAAAATGCAAAAGAAAGATTTTTTATTTGTAATATTAAAGTTAATGTAACTAAACTAAAAAGAGATAATTATATTAATTAATTTCTCTGAAAATTACGTGAATTTTGTTAACATGAAACTGTTTCATGATAATAAAAATAGACATAAATTGAAAATAAAGGCTGCTTCATTATTAATGTTAATGTTCATATATTCGTAATGAATAATAATAATATTTATGTACATCCGGAAAATTGTATCGCGCGTTTGAATTTTTGAAAAAATAGATTGTTCTAACATGACATCCGCACACGGTTTTTACATAAAATATTTTAAGAGTAACGCAACAACGAAAAAAACTTTTTTCATATAAAAGTTAGAATCTTTAAGTTAAATTGACTTTTTGCTATGAGAATATAATGCAATTAAAATGTGATTTTAATTGTACGTGTGTAATTAATTTGTCGGCATTAGCCGAAAAAAAAAAAAAAAATACCGCGAAACTGCTGTTTCATATGTATCGAATACCAAATACAATGTTTCATAAATTGGAAATGGTGACAAATAAACTCGATCATGGTTATTTTTTATTTAGTGTTGATCTATCTCCGTTATGATTAATGTTTACAGCCGGAAAATTGTATCTCGACGTACGAGCCGCACGCATACTGTGTCGTTTATTCCACGACCGATCGGGCGTCGGTGCGCATCGCCGAGGAGGTTCTCCAATCCTTGTGGCGGAGTGATCATGTATCCGCGAGAGCGGTTATCCTCGTGGGGAACAAGGTCGATCTCGTTCGCAGTCGACTGGTATCGACTGAAGGTAATTTTTTTTAGGCCCAAATAATCATGATATACCTACATATATTTCCTTTTTCTTTCTCCAAAGTTATTTATCCCAAATCGAATAATTCGCGGAGACACGCGAAAATGGAAACACGCTGCGCGATTAGGAGCGTGCTCGAGAAACGAGGTGCCTATCTATCATTTGGGTGGCAGTTAGGGAAATGCTGATGTAGGCCGATCGTAGATAACGCATCGTACGTAAATGTACTGACGCAGCACTTCGGTTTGCTTCGGTGCAAATTCTCCGAGGGCAGTAGAGCGGGAAAAAGCCATTTAACTATCTCCTCCCCAGCGCGATAGATAGAATACGCTTTCTCTGTATTGTTAAACGTGATTAATAGCAGTCTTTTTCGCAATTGTACATTTATTTTTGTAATACTGCATCTGTCCGCAGTATGTCCCACAACACATATCGGAGCTTTAATAATATATTTTGTAATTGGAATTGAATAATATACGATTGTATCGGGATTTGCAATGAATTTATTTAGTTATATATAGATAAATCTGAGGCAAATAAAAAAAAAGTAATAAAAAACATTATTAAGTTTTATTATAAATTCTTAATCTTTAAAATGTGCGATATATATATTATTAATTTTATATATATATATTAATTACGTGCTCACTCGCGAAAGATTTTTCGAGCGCGCAATATCTCCCTTTTCGAATTTAATCGATTTCATCGTTATAGAGGGCAAATCCATGGCAACGTCTTACGATTGTAAATTCATCGAAACATCCGTCGGAATTAATCACAATGTCGATGAATTACTGGTCGGCCTGCTCACACAAATTCGTCTGAAGCTGGAGAACCCCGAGAGGACCAGAGAGATGTTCCGTAAAAGATCGCGGAAGAACCGTAGCAAGTCGCCACTGGGTTCGTGCTCGGAGAACAACTCGCCTAAGAAATATCGTGGCAGTCGGACCAGCACCAGCCTGAAGGTGCGCAATTTACTTGACAAGGTCTGGGCGCGTGACAGCAAGTCAAAGAGTTGTGAGAATCTACACGTTCTATAAAAGAGTTCCGAGGACCGTCCGCTTCGGCGTCGCGTCGTGTCGATCGGTACCGATCGTCTAAATTCAGAAGAATGATCTGGGAGCAGCAAGTTGGACTTCCATGGAAACGTCTTACGGAAACGTCTTCGGAGCAGTCTTCAAATATGAGGGTCTTTGAGGCAACTCTCGTAAGAGAAAAGGTCAAGTATCGACCGCTCCATACTCAACTTCTCACGGCAGAAGAGGAGGCATGTGCGTATCGCTTTGTAACGAAATAGCGACTCTCCCAGCCACGTTTTTTCTCTACGTTGCTAGCATTGTTAGCCCTCTGTGGACAAAGTAATTTTTGATATGTCTAACGAGGCGTCTAACGACGTCCGATTAATCAATGCTACACGAATCTTTTAATTTCGTTCTCGCGCGACTTTGGAAATTTTAACGTTATATTCTGACGATTACGATTAAACTACTCCTAGCTTATGTCCTACTGTTTGCTGATTTTTCAATTATCTCCTGATTTGTGTGTAACTGTGAAAACTAGATCTGTCAAGTTGTTAGCATTTTCTCTTCATTGCTATCTATAAATCAAATGATTTAAAGAGATTGATCATTGGATCATTACTTTTCACAGCTTCTATAAATTCCGTATCGTAAGTGATAAAATGTTTTTAATTCCGAAGTAAGAGTATAATCTTTGTAATTACCGTAAAGCGTAAATATAGATCATAGAAGATTGGCGCGTATCTTACCAAGAGCGTAGCCATCGTTAACGAAGAATAAGTTCGCGTTCGAAGTCATAAAATGCTTGTGAAGTAAAGTGAAACGTGACACCCCCAAGGCAACAATCAGCGCAGATTACTACTGGCGAACTCGTTATCGTCCACAACAGGAATCGTATATAAAGAGAAAGGAAATCGTATCGATTTTTATCACGTTCATCCGCCGAGCGTAGTTTCGTTGTCATAGCTTAACGCGAGCTTAACGAAAAAGCACTCCGTAAGATGAAAAGATTTGCTCTAAAAGGCGCATAATTGTAGAGGAGCATAAATACACGCGCCTATACGTTGTATCGCTCTATACCACGGTTTCCATTGTAGCAAAATACGCGCGCGATTATTATATTGTATTATTGTAGCTTTGCATTTCAATTTTGTACGAAATGGAATTTTTCATTGAATCCAAGCAGGAATTGACGATCTTCAATTATATTTCAGCGAATAGGATGGCTTGTTGACCCCTTTACGCTCAACAATTTGACTATATATATGCGCGCGTGCGTGCGTGCGTGTGTGCGCGTGTGTGTGTGTGTATGTGTGTGTGTGTGTGTGTGTGTGTGTGTGTGCGCGCGCGCGCGCGCGCGCGCGTGTGTACATAAAATCTTGTATATACCCGATAAATAACAGAGATAAATAGCAATACGAGCAAATTGATTGTAGTCTAATACCCGTTAAAACAATAATTCTCGAATCTTTTTCGTTGATGATTTCGGTGATTTTCGCGATGCATTCAACGTTTGGCAACGAATTCGATGTTGTATGTTGAATAAATCAAGTTTACGTATTAAGCAAAAAACGTTAAATTAAGAAAAGAAAAGGAAAAAGAAAAAGATAAGAGGAAGGATAGAAATTTCAGACTTCAAGTGTGATTTTAATTTATTTTTAGAAAAGTTGAAATTTTTTTAAACTGACCATATGTTTCGATATATTCGTTGCCATTAAAATCTGTTGTACACGATACGTACATTAGATTTTCAGTCAACTGGCAGTGAATTGATAAAACGCCTATATGACAGTTTATAATAATACAATTCGTATTTGTCTTTGAAATATTAAACTTTTTTCTTTTTTTTTTATTTCTTTGTAGATATTTAATTAGTTAATTTTATGGCATATTAGATTTGAAAATATATTATTTTGACCATCTTAATATTATTGATAAAGTTACTTGTAAATTCTTTGCATTAAAATATTTAAGAATTTGGCATAACAATTATTAACATAAATCTATTAAAATTAAAGTTATTAAAAACATAATTAATTAATAATCATTATATTATCATTTATTTTAATATTATATAATCTTGCTTTGTATTTATTGCAATTTTATTTAATTTATAAGGAGCTGAAATATCTTAAACTTTTCTCTAATTAAACATATCTCTCGATCACGATATTTACATCAAATGAATTGATTGTATTTAGATCAAAGTAATTGACAACGCTAGAAAGTAGGAACGCGATTCTAAGCAAGATCGCAGATCCAGTATGATTTGTTTCTAATAAAAGGATCGCCATAAATCGAATATCTTATTAAAGCGATTCAAGAGTAAGAATAAATGCACGAACAGCATAAATCAATCTATAGCTGAGAACCTTTTGCATAGTTTTCAGCCGCATATGAACTGCATTCGAATATCAGTTTGTAATGAACGATGATATCTCGTGTTTATATTAATAACAAACGCGAGCAGTTTCCCTTCAGTTTCCCTGAAAATATTTACTTTGTATAAGCATTGTATTGAGCATTATATTCTCATTACACAAGAACTTAAATCGTACAAGCTTCTGTTACATTATACGATCAGCCGCGAAATGTAGATAAGCGCAGCTGTCCAAGAGTTAAACGATGCAACGTATGATACGAGTCGTGAAATACGCGAGGTTGTAAAAGATAAATGGGTCACCTGCCCGACCATCGCGATTGTCCTTCTCCGAATTAAAAGGTTCTGATACTAGCAGCGAAATGCAACATAACGAGGTGACAGCAGGCGAATCGCATCGCCGCACCATCGCAAAAGGTCGTCGCGACAAACAATTAATGTCTTAACGATCTCGATACCGACGATCGATTGACATTCGCAGCGTGGAACACCGGGAAAGAATCGATTTACGCTGAGTTTGCATTCGCGAGTTTGAAAAAAAAAAAAAAATGTTTATCCGGCGCAAGACTTGTCACACTAAAATCCGTGTCACGGTACGCATTGGAGAATTGCGAATTAGAGATTAGAAACCGATCGATCAGATAATTTTAATTTTTATCCTTTTTTCTAATTGGCTGAATTTTAATCTTTAATTCGCAATCTTCAGTCTCCAGTGCGTAGTGTAACACAGATTTAATACGAGTAATTTCATTCTCGCACCGGGTATATAATATGTAATAAATGACAAAGCGCATGATCGACATTGAATTTTAAGAATTTTATTACTAATGTAATACACAAATTACTAAAGCTAAAGTTACACATTTTTTACATTACGTTATATTTTCCGGAATGTTGAAGTTATTCTTTTTTTAATATTCAATATTTCAAATATTGTATTATTTCTTTACTTGAAAAGTGACACAACTAAAAATATTAAATATAATTAAATAAGAGAATTCCTATATTCTTCGTCAAAGCGGATCTTAATACCTAATACTTAAATATTTCTGTGTGAATTTATATACATATCTGATTTTGCAATCTACGCGCCGAAATCTTTTTGAAACGCAATCATGAGCAGATCTCGAATACTAATATCACTTATTCAATTGACAAACAATTTAATAATTCTTTATGCAAATAATAGGATATTAATCGGTAGTTAGATGTTAATAAAAATTTTTAATCTGCAAATAATAATTTTATTGCAGAAAAATATTGCGTTAGTCACGCAATATTTGAACTTAAAACTCCCAACTTTGCAGGACGAGCATACCGGACGATTATACCGGTTCGATCACAGAAGCTTCGGCAATATTTGTCGCAATAACTAGTAACCAATAATTAGTAAATGAATGCATATGTTTCAGTGATAAACAATATGATACGAATTTGGATTGATGAAAATAAACTTAATTACATAATAATAATAAGAGAATTCCTATATTCGCTTTGATCGAATATAGGAATTCTCTTATTTAATTAAATTTGTTCTGATCGATTCAAATTCACACATCATGTTATTTCAAAAGGTCAAATAAATGTATAATGCCTATCAAAGCCAACACAAGTTGTTAAAGTGTGTAAAAGTTCATTTATTACACACACACTTTTTAACAACTTGGATTGCTTCTCTGGAACCTAATTTGATAATTAATTATTTAAAAAGATTAATTAAGATTTTTTTTTTTAAAGAGAGAAACTATGTATTTTTTAACTGAAAATGATTGACTAATTAGATAATGCCAGCAGAAAGAATATAGTCATTCTTAATATGATCAAATATCACCTTCATCATTTTCGTTTCATAACTCTCAAAGATCAGTCCTTTCGAGTTGTGATGATTTTTTATAAAATTAAATTAGTTTACTTTTCACGATTGATACGTTTTCTTATATTTTTTCAAAGATGATTTTTTCAATTTATAACAAAACAAACAATGTATTGAAAAAAAGCTGAAAAAAATTCTGAAAAAGAATATCTCAAATGAATGTCTAAATTGCCGTTTTGATATTGATAATATAGTTTAGTATGGAGAATATATTTTTAAAAAAAGCACAAATTTTGGCTATTTGTTTAATTATAGTAATTACGCAAATAAAAATTTATGGTTGCCTATTTTTTTTAAACGCTTATTCATATCCTAAAAACTACGAAAATAAAAAAAGATGGTATTTGATATCAACAAATTTATCAAAATAATTAAAAATTGAATGGAAAAAGGTGGTACTCTGAGAGTCTCCCATCACGACGTAAAGGGTTAACTTATTCATAATAATAATTCGAAAATCACATTTTCTGAGTTTACTTTTGAAGTAAGGGAGTGATATTTTGTGTAACATTTTAGCTTTTGCAGTAAGGGCATGTCGGTAAACAAGATGCAAATCGAAAGATAATGCAATCTCACTCTGAATTCATTAATCAGGAATTAGAGAGATACCATGACTACTGTTACAGCTGTTACAGCTATAGGCAGACGTAATAAAAGAAGGATTTTAATAACTTGTATAATAACAATAACACTAATACTTCAGTGTGAATAAAAGTGGAATCCTGTTCGTTTTTCAACTTGGCTCTTTCATATTTATATACAGGCGAA